GGTTAACCTCCTTGCGTGTGAAGCTCAGAGGAATGCTGTATCCCCATTATGTCGGAGCGTGGGACTCTGTTGCCTGGTGTAGGGAGGCTAGGATGACCTTCAGGAATGCTATTGTTGTGTACTCCATTCCCTTTCCAAATGCACCATGCCCTATCAGACTGATGGTCCTTTTTAGCAGAATGCGATATCCACGGGTACCAGGGGCGAGAGAAGGGAGAAGGGGTCCATAAAAAGCCCCAAATAAAAGGCTGTTCTCTCTGCTCCGTCTCCCCTGTCCTGTGCTGGAACGGCAGGAATGTGGCAGGCAGACCGACTGGCCCTCGGAGCCTTCTGCCCCTAATGAATTTTAAAAGGCCTTTTTCATTCAAAGCAGGGTGCTGGCTAACAGCATGTCGCCTGGCCAAGCACTCAGGGGAAAAAGAGGAGAGATGAAGAGAGCACAGGAGGGCTGGAGGGAGAAGAGAAGGAGGTGCTGGCAAAGTGAGTTGGCACCAAGGCAAGATGGGGTATTGGATGTCCCTCACAGTGAGAGATAATAGGGCACTCTGCATGGGAAGCCACTGTAGGAGCATTCTTGACTTTGCCACGAGGGTCTAAAGAGAATATAGGGAATGTGTGAGAGAGAGGGAGAGAGAGAGAGAGGGTGAACGAGGAGAGCAAAGGCAGAAACACTGAACCGATTTTAATTGGTAAAAAAAAGAATCTCAGATTTAGTCAAAGGTCATCATGTGGTGCTTGAAATGTCAGCACTTGTAAAGGAATAACTTGACATTCTGGAAAATATGCCTATTTGATTTTTTTTTTCTTGCCTAGAGCTATATTAGAATTACCCTGCCACTCTCATGTCTGTATGCTAAACCTTTGCTGCGTCTCAATTCATGTACATGTTCATTGTATTCTCACACTTGCTATTTTGAGTGCATAAGTGTGTTTCTGCTCATCCTCGCCGGTCACTATCTTAGCTGCTGTGAAGCAGATGGGGAAGGACCATCGACGTATACGCAAACGAAGAAGGAGAATATGTCGTCAGCACTGATGGCACAGGGTGCACACAAAGGAAAGTAAAGTGCACGACTGCAGTTTGATTTGGGACAACCTCCCTGAAATGTACGAACTACGGAAGTGAGTATACTGTGTACACAGTGTACTGCAAGTATTTGAGACACAGCACTTAATCTACAGCTAGCAGCAGTTAGCTTAGCACAAAGACTTGAAAAGGGGAAACAGCTAGCCTTGTGTACCATACAGACATGAAGGTGATATCAGTCTTCTCATATGATACCGAAATGTTAATACTGTTCCTTTGAAAGCTGCCACTTTACTGTTGACCATAATTGAGTGTTTCAGCTTGACAGTTAATTGATCTATATACTTTATGCCACGAAGATAATGAGCACGTATGACTTCCACAAACCAGTAAGGTTTATTGACAAAGATATACCTGGCTTAATGGCTGGTGGACCTGAAAAAGGTGACTGTACCCAACAGATGGATTTATTTTCATCAGAACGAAAGAATATGAACCACAAGGGGAAGTTGCAGGATATTAACTTTCAAGGCTAATCTTCTCTAATTAGCAGTGTATCTGTGGGGAGCTATTTGGGACTTGCACTGGCATGCTAATCGTTTTCCTACGATGGAGCAGCCAGCAGAGCTCTGTCAGCCGTGATTCCTGCACTTATTAATTTGCCCACAACCTATAGCAGAACTCATAAACAATAATTATTATAATACAGTTACATTCACTGGTTGCTTTATTGTAGAAACATTGGACATTCTCCATTTTTCTGACAGTGACTAACGTGACTCTCGTACAGTACATTTAACAAACAGACAGGGTTAAGGTTCAGGTACTGTTTGATGTAGTGTTACAATAATCAAGATGCAGGATCTGACTCACTGTCATATTCACTGATACATATTCAGTTTCACCCCCCTGGGACTTTCCCACACTGCAGAGAGTTTATTAGGATTTGTGTGATGCCTCCATTCAGCTGTAGTCTTCTGGACAGAAATGTGTTGATTACAGGGGGAGTTTTGAAAACTTTGATAAATAACAGCTTGTGATATCAGTGATTGCAGAGAGGTAAGTCAGAACAAAAACCTCATTGAACCTCAAAATGGATGTGACAGCAGGAAAAGTGTGCACTCCTGCCAACTATGCACAACTATATACATTATCTGCTCCGGTGAACTCACTGTTTCTGTTTCAACCTGCTGATCGCTGCATCAAAACGTGCTCTACACATTATAAAGAGTGTAGACAGGTGGAGGTCTTCTTGTCTCACGTCAGTTATTTTAAGTACTTGGCAATTACAATATCTGCAGATCAGCACCTTATACACAGGATCATTTAATAATATCATATATAATAATTTAATGCTGTATTACACCCCCCGTCTGTCCGTCTGTCTGTCCGTCCGTCCGTCAGCTACCACCACAAATAGAAGCTGATTCTGTGGGAAACAGTGCAGTTGGTTCCTCAGTGCAAGGACACAGCTGAGTGTGTCTTGACCGACAGCTGAGCAGAATAAAGCTACACCTGTGTACAGGAGACCAATGTAAAATGCAGGTTTAAGACATTGGAAACTGATGTGGGGGTGGATCCTACTGGGACTGATAAGATCATGTCTGCTTTAAGAAGTGTAGGTTCACAGAATGTTGTTTTTACATTATTTTACTGGATTTTTTTTTTTTCCTTGAAGGATTGAAGCAATAGTTTTTGTGAAAGTGATAAATTACAGTAAGTCTGTACTTTATCTTTGTATATTCAGGATACGCCTAAGTATTCACTAACTATATACACAAGATCATTACATCACCACACTCAATCTTCTCCTCAGTGTGCACCAAATGTGGTGAATTCATTATACTTTCCTCAGTTTGTTCAAGTTATTCTTTTACACAAGAATCTTTGCTTTTTTTTCTTTATCTACATCTTATTTCCCATGCGTACTCAATCTCTCACACAAACACGTTAGCTGCGATTTTCACATCCACGTGGGAGGACTGCCAAACTGATGCTCTGTGGCATCACAACAGACAGAGCAGATATACCCTACTGCCGTCTGTCTATAGGGGCCATTACGTTTCACATGGTGGGGGGGGGGGACTAAACACCCTTTTGGTCACATCACCTCCACTGATGTCAGAGGAAATGCCAGAGAGCTGAGGTAAAGGGCTGCCTCACGCAGTCCAGCAGATTCCTGGGCACACGACCACTGTGATAGTGGAATCTCCAGAGTGCTGCTGAGTTAAAAATGGAATAAGGAGTCAATGATAATGACAGCGTGGCATTAAACTTTGGCTAACAAGTAAAGGCACATCCAATCACAACAGACAAATAGAATCAGCTCTTCACCTTTGAGGACACTGGCCTCTCAGCTGATGGGCACAGACATGTAAAACATTTTTATGAAAAAAGTGTCTGAATTGACTCATTTGACTGACATTTCCTTTCATATCATGAGTCATTGATGGTTCTTTAATAACTTTGTTGGGGCCAGCTAAGACCACACAGCAGTGACGTGCAAAGACAACATAACAAACCTCAAAAGCATACGTTCTCATCAATCATCTGGATTGTTTACTTCTTGGAAACCTTACTTTAATTTGCCACCCAACACATCTACAAACCGAACAAAGTGAAAAGCAGAGAGGGTGCCCTGGCGATGCCTTGGCTTGCCTTCGCTGTGCCCAAACAACAAAAATGAGAGGGATTAACTGTTACCTATACTTAACATGCTGCATGCTGTGTTGCTGCCAGAGCTTTTAAAGAAACCACTAATGCATTTGTGAACCCAGTTACTTGGAAGGACGCTGTGTTCCTCCTGGTGAACTGAAGCAGAAAGATGAGCTGGACGCCCGCAGTGAAGATGAAACATGGAGGAGGAAAGTTTGATTATTCTGTGGGATTCCAGTGTCTCACTTCTGGAAAGTAAATGGATTGGAAAGATGCCATTGTGGTTGTGAGCCATTCGGTCATAACGAAATTTAAAGAAGCAGTCATCCACGTAGAAATGTGTAAATAAATAGTAGCCTGTAGTTATTGGTTGTACGGTACCCCTGCGTATGTATTTGTGCATAAATGTGTGTGTAGGTATGAGGAAAGGGGCATTTGTTCATATACAGGCCTCTATTGTGTTATCTTGGAAGTGCATGGCAGTCTACCTGGATGACCTCATGGTTAGGCCCTCCACAAATGAGGAGAAGCAGAAGCATTGTGTTTGCCAAAAAGCACAGTGAGCAGGCTGAGGTCATAGTGAGATAGGGCTTGTGGAAACACTGATGCTCTCGCTAACATGACTGGCCTTGGAAACTACTCCCGCAGGAACCCCAAACACAGGACAGTAAAATCTCACTGGGCGGTCAGACAGGAGAGCAGACCAGCCGAAGTTCAGCCAAAAAAAGACCTGCTCTTTCCTCAGGTTTCAGGTTAAGCAAGAGAGACGACATGCAGGTGAAATTGTGGACTTTCTTGTAAATTTCCATCCACTGAATGCGTTTCATAATATATGCTAATGTTACTTGGGTGGCAGCCATCCTTGCACTTCCTGCCTATAAACATATGAAAGACAGATGACCAGGAACACGAGGACAGGAAGAGGCATTTTGTAGAGTTTGTGTTGGTCCTTCAGCGTACCTATTTTCCGCAGCCACTGCCTTGTAAAAGTTTTAACATACTTCCTCCAAAATGACATCATTTCATGGCCCATTGAAATGATGTCATCACAACCTGTTGGAGAGAAAAGGTTTTGTTTCACTGCACTTAATCTCAAGAACCTGGGTACCGCTAAATACTGTGCCATTACAAGAAACCCAGTGAAAATCCTCAAACTGATTTTCTCTTGTTTACAGATGTCTGATTAGAACTGGACTGCATCATAATATTCCTGAAGATAGGAAATGCTGATGGTTTAACTTACTGTACGTCATCGTGAGTCAGTCTTTTGTTTAATATCAGCAGATGTTTTGAGTGAATCCCTGTGTGTCTCTTCTAGACGGAGGTCATGAAAGGAGCTCTGAAGGATCTGAGTCTCAACATTGTGGAAATGACTGACGAGAACGCCACACTGGATGGAGGAGATGTGCTCTTTACAGGTGGGTTCCACTGTCTCCTACGTCACTGTGTCTGATTGCCCCTTAACTTCTACATGATCACGTCAATCCAACCTCCCTTATGAGGCCATCCTCATATGTTTATTGCTGCCACTACAGGGCCGTCATTTGTAAATTCTGGGCTTGAATATGAAACGGGTGCATTAAAAGCCATTCGATAGATCCAATGTAATCAAGATTATTATTATTGATCTTAAGAGTTTTAATAGCTTGAGCTCATGAGAAAGGGAGGACCAAAGTCCATGATGAAATGCAGCTTCTTTAACATTTTACACACATCCATGGATTTTTAAATTTTGCTTGTTTATACAGGAATGAAACATAAAGATAATATAGACGTGAGATTCGGCTTTTACATTTAGTTTGCGAGGTGGCACTATGTTGTCAGTGTCAGTTTGTACTAGATGGAAATGTGAAAACATGCTAGTCTAAAATTTGGTACTATAGGGCTGTGAGACCTAAACTGCAAGTCAAATCTTAAAACACGTTTTTGGGGTTGTGGAGGACAAAGCAAGGCAAAGCTTTGTTGCTTATACTCTTCCTTTTAATCAGAATCTACTATAAAAGAGAAAATAATTTTATTTGGTATTTAAAATTGTAATCATAATTGTAAATCCCTGATAGCAGACTTGACTATTCAAAATGCCCCTCAATACGAATGGATCAGACAACATACTGATAATTCTGCTGTTCTTAGAGCTTGTAAAAAGTGCTTTATAAATAGAATTGGATTGGATTGTGAAGTTTTGTCCTGAGAGTAGAGCATGATGGACGCCATGACGTCATTAGTTGCTTTTCTTCATGTTTTCTCAAACACAAGTTCACAGTGTGATGGCACAGTCAAGAGGAAACAAACATTAGTTTTCCACGCCTGGATGCTTTCAGTTTGATTTGCAGTATGGCCTAATGAACACAACCAGCACCCTGGTAAAATACAATTTTACCAGAGGTAAAATAAGTCTCTGGTTGTCAAGAGCAGTTAAACATAAACTTTACAGGAGTCGTCCATGTTTTTCCTACTTGCTTGAACGTTTGAGGTCAGAGGTGACATATTTCCGGTTTAGATTTTCCATAAACAAATACGGAAATGCTCAGATTATTACAAAAAAATATTTCAAAGCAGCAATATAGTGTGCATGTTTCTGATTGGCTCGCTGGTATCTGTTAAAATCATATAACAGGATACTTTGTGTTGTGGCATTCTTCGCCTCTGTCTCATCTGTTATTTTTTCATCTGAAGACATGCAATCTGTTATTTGTTACATAATACACTTGGCATATGTCATTCTTGATTCAAACCATAGTAAAGGAGTAAAGGGGTGAAGGGGAACTAGCAGACCACACATAACCTTGAGTTTTACTGCAATCCATTAACTGCATGTAAGAAACATGTATTGAATTTAAGTAGAAATGAAGATGTAATTGTAAACAGGAAACACTGGGGAACAGTGAGGTAGCAGAGCCTGAGCCTCTGCAGTCACAGCTCATACACAGTCTACCAGACGATTGCGTGTCTGTGTTTTGGGATCCTCCACACAAACATTCCTCTCGGCGACCTCGATGACCCGGTGCCTCAGCGCACTAAGCAGAATTTCTCCCCGAAAATAATCTGTAGCAGAAATGTTGTGTACCATACTGCACGGTCAAATCACATCAGCAGGACTGTAGGCTCTCACCACGGGCCTCTTATTACCCTTGCATCAGGTAATAAAACTGATGAAGGGAGAGAACACAGTGATCTTCATTAGATTTTTCTGTACGTTCTGTTACAGCCGTGTGGTGAGTTAAAATGTGGGTCAGTGTCTTCTGCAATGCGCAGGCCACTAGGAAAAAGCATAGTACACTTAATTGGGTTTCTAGACACTGGCTCTGTGCTCTCGTTCCTTCCAGCTGAAATCGGTTTCACATGGCAGGGCTAGAAACATTTCCTGTTGGCAGGGCCCCGGCTAACGGCTCATTTTGTAAAGGCTCAGCAGCTACATTAGGACCCCATCCCTTAGCTCCGTGTGCTGCAGCCTCGCCAGGCATTCAGGGCTCTGTCTGTTTGTGCCCCACCATACTGACCACAGTTGGCCTTTCTACAAGCATGCATAAAGTACACACTGTGGTGACTGCAGTGTTCAGCTACTGTAGCTCCACAGGCTCGCTGTATTCAAGATTTTTACATTTTATCACTGTAGACTTTTCAGATACACCTCTCTATTTGTCATATGCACGTTCATAGATAGTTTGCCAAGCTTCATCTGATTCTTTCTACAGGTCGAGAGTTCTTCGTGGGTCTTTCCAAACGGACCAATCAGAGAGGAGCAGAGATCCTGGCAGATGCTTTTAAGGTGAGGTAAAGTGGTGCAGTGATGTTAAAAAATGACTAAATTACAATTCATACTTCAGTAAAAGTAACAACACCTTGTTCAAAAATGACTCAAGTAAAGTGTTAGCAGCCCATTACACAACTTATACAAAAGCCCTGAACCTGCATTAATTGATCGTCTTGGGGGAAAAGTAAGTTGTAAATACAAAAGCACCATATTGTCACTTTGTGCTGGCGACGCAATGTGTTTACAAACAGCTCCGTATTTACGCACATGGAACAATATTAATATTTATTTGGAGTCATGTTTCTGGCCACCTGATGACTGTATGCCCTGTATTCACTCTGGTTTCCTCCAAATACTGAGGGAAATCTTCAGGTTCTTTAGGTGGTAAATGCTCCACTATGCTCACCAGCTACTTGCTAACTTTGACTGTCTGCTGTTCGATGTTGAGCACGTAGTGTACAGTAGGTGTATAAGCCGGACACAACACGGATGAGAGCAGTGAGAGCGAACCAAACAGTGAAGCTAACCCCTACAGAGTGGGGTTTGTCATTACCAGCTCAAAGGGCCAATAAATAACAAATAACATAAAAGGGCAAATTATTGGAGAGACACCAAAAATGTACTTAAATGAACTAATTTATTTAAAGAACATAAATTAAGTTGCAAAGAGAGATGACATGTGGATGTCCGGGAGTTGTAGTAGTGTAAGTGAGTGCATGTGTGAAATGCAGTGAGTGAATGTGAGTGGGTAAACATGATAAAGAGCCACATGGAGATAAAGCACATGGAGAGTCTCCCTAAGGCGACTAATGTGGCAGCTTTTATAGTGGTTGGGAGCAGGTGCAGCCCCGCCCACCAATTACCTGTACCAGGAGCAAACAAGGCACAAGCAAACAGGCCAGAGGGCTGTCACGCGGTGTAATTCTCTGTGAGCCACTCTTTCTTTTTTTTTAACCCCTCAGACGCATTGTTTATATCCAGATATTGATTAGAGAAACTTTAAGTATCAATAATAACAGTGAGTTGTTCTTCTGTTTCTTTAAATATACACATTAAACTTAATAAAAAGCCACTTTCAGTGAGACAAAATACAGTCAGGTCAGTCCCTAAAGAAGAATTGCTTTGGATTGCATTTAATCTGTTGTTCAGGTCACTGCACAGTAAGAGCATGAATGGAAACCTTAATGGAAATGTACCTTTCTAAAGACACAGCCACCACTCTGCCTTCTTTAGTCTCCTAAATGGTCTCTAAGCACAAGCCTGCTATGAGTGATCAGACATCACAAAAAAGAGAGGAAGAGATAAATAGGTTATCAATCATAAAAGCTTTATGGCAGGAAGATAACAGCATCATCACTCCATTAATTTTGCTTTTTTCATTCTGTTCCACTTCCATTTCTCCCTCCAACCATCTCCACCTCACTCCACCCCCTCTTTTCTGTCCATTATATCTAGCCTTCATCCATTCACCCCTGCCTGTTTTCTTCCTTTGTGTGTATTCACTTTGCTCTGCTGCCTGTGGATGTCTGACTTTCATGTCTACATCAAGGCTACACTGTGTTTGTGGACTACTTACCACACAGTACATGTAAACATATGAACTGTTGCTAGAAGATGTGGAGACCTTGATTTGGAAGCATCATATTGGCTGTATATAAAGTATCCCTGCATTGTAGGGAACAACACAAATATTAAGGAAAGTTGGATCAGTTGTCGACCTGTTGACATGAAAACAAGAGCAACCAAAACAAAAACACTTGTGCAATTAAAAGAAGTATTTCTACTTTGTTATGAAGCACCACTGGAGCAGCGCGCCCTGTGATTATTGATGGATGCAGCTATAAAGAGTCCCAGTGGCAATTAGGCCTCAGCTGGCCTGGAGGCATTTTTAATCACCTATTGATGCAAACCTCTGCCACCTCTGTACACAGTAATTAAACAAGCAGTTGATGACACTGATTAAAACGGCAACTTGGGAGAGAAAACACCTCTCTTATGAATGATTTTATGGACACTTTTTCTCTCTGTGCTATGATAAATTAATTTCATCAACTTGTCTGCTCATCTCTACTGAATTGACAGACTGTTCCCACTTAGAAGGAAAAGTGTTTTTCTCACGATCCTCGTTCATCTCTAATGAGTCATTTTTATCATTTAAACCAATTAGGCCTCGTTTGACTGACACTGTCATCTTCAGGTAATATCACCGCCCTAAAAATTGCGTTCAAAGCATTCAGAGTTCAGTAAATCTGTCTTTCATTGGATGATTTGACTGTGGGCTAATTTGTTGTGGAGAGCTTCTTTTTTTTTTGCCTCTGATGAAGTCTTTTAAAAAATATGATTTGCAATTTAAGATTAAAAACTGTCATAACTAATTTCCTTCCTTTTCAGTTGGATAAATTCAGTGTAATCTTATTCATATTTAAAAAGCTGTCAGAGGAGCTAGAGCCAGGGAAAGTGTTCCTTCATTACCAAGAACATGGCCACTGTAGTGAATCCCACGCACGCCGTCCTACCTCTGTAAATACCCACTATGGTTCAAATCTGCGACTGAAGATAGCCCCAACAAATGGACTATTGAGTTATTGAGTTAAGACTAGAGTAACTCAGCCACTGTAGGATTTTTCTTTTTTAGCCTTGTCTAAAAATGTTTTTGTGACCCATTTTTAGAGATTTATGTCTTCACTAGGAACAAATGGGACTGAGGCTTGAAAACCACGGGCAGGGGAGGGAAGCTGAGAGACAGACCAATGCGCTGTTGGTTTTGGTCTGATTTGTTGACAATATGAAAAATATTGATCATGAGCCTTATCCTTCAAGTTAAAGGCAACAGTGTGTGTACAAGCCTGCTCTGTGTCTCTTTTCAGCCCTTGTTAACGTCACTGATTTTGTATTTTAAATGATTTCATCATATTTTCCTTTCCGACTACTTTCTGACTAATATCACTGTGCTGTGGCCTGACCTTGATAATCACAACTGAGCCCAACAATCTCCATTCCCATATGACACACACATCCAAAAGAAATATTCAGAAAAATATCCCAAACATCACTGAAATAACAGATTTGTTTCAGGGAGGATTTTAGGCATGCAGTCTACAAACACAGTCACAGTGTGGGTCACAAAAACAGACCGATCCTATCTGAAGTGTTTACTGTTATTGTAATGTGAGGACGTTTTATACCGCAGACTTATGTGTATCGCTTTTAGATTTGCTCAGAGAGACCATGACAAAAGAGCAAAGTTCAGAGGTGGGTCATGGCGCCAAGAGTTCAACGCATTAAGGTAACCTGAATGGTTTTATTGTAGTGCTTCCATCTTCCCATCTGTATCTGATTTGAATTCCTCATTATGGATTCCTCTGTGTTTTCTGTTATCTTTGATAAGACGGGACTTAATGATGCGTCTCTGGCAAATGACACAAGGAAAAATTACTTGAGCGTCCATTATTGTTTTTTCCGTTTTTTATCAGATTGATTCCCTCTATCACTGTTGTTTTTTCCTTTCATTATCAAATTAAGGATCACTTTGTTGCCAGGTTTGTTTAGCACTCAACAACTGCGTACAGATGTGGCAGCTCTTTTCTTTACGGTCCTTGGAGAGGTCGCAGCATTTGATGCTGTTGATGGAATCAGTTTGTTCGGGAAGCAATCTCGAGGCTACACCACTTCTTCTCTGTTACAGCTAAAAGGTGTTGACTCTTAATTTGTACCAATGAGACACTAACAGACACAGAAGTCTGCTGTACATCTGGGTTCGTCAACAAGGTCTTTCCAGTTCATAGCGCGGCCCGTTACTGCAGATGAAAAGCAACTGTCTCTCCTTTAATTCCTTGAAGGATTTATCTTGATGAGGAGAAAGGTTTGACTCAAATGTCTAATTTTACACTGAAACTTCCTGTTCATGGATAAGGAAAGAAGAAAGTCCAGATTACATAATTCCCACTTGTCCTTCTATATCTTCTTAACAAGTGCCAAGTAAAGAGTTCAGGAAAACATCAAGGATGGGGGAATTTAAGTTTCTCACATGATAAGCTGCCAAGCACTATTCTGTTTTTCAGTCACAATAGCTATTTCAGTGAATCACAACACTGTAACGGAGCTAATGATGCTGTACAAATATTGACCTTAAAAGTGTTAACATACACTTGAATGGAAAATGTCACAATAGAGTGTAACGATGGAAAATGTACACAATACTTCATGGGGTTTTATGAACCTTAGAGCTATAAAAACCCATTCAAAACATATTATGTGATTAAGAAAACACATGGACGTCAGTTGAAGAAGTTATTTTCTTAGGCGCAAACCAGAATTTATAGTCATATAAATGTATTCACATAGATTCAGGAAGGAAAGGTCTTGGAAAATAAGCTTAAAGCCTCATATCCTATCATAATTCAAATTACAGCTTGGTATCACTTCAAGGTTTATAGATCTCAGTAGGACCAAACTCTGGCTTTAGCGATTCTCAAAAGGCTTACACTGTGTCACCAACCGTGTGTCCTGAATCAAAAGCCTAATCAATCAGCTTTAAGGTGGGAAACTCTTCCAGTCCCGTGAATCAAAATCAAAATAAAGTCGCTGGTAAAATAATGTTGTTTCGACAGGGCATGCTGTAATTCTTCAAATATGGACTCCAGGCTTTAATTCTTGCAACAAGGAGACTTTCAGCTGACATTTTAATGAAAGGGTCAGTCCAACATCAACTGTTGAAGGCTAAAGATAAATAAAACACTATAGGACCCTTTACAGTGCTGTGGAAATTACCCTGCACCAAAATGAAGCATATACAGTATCAGTTGTTGAACACTGCTTTTACCTACAAGTTCAGAGATTTAAAAAAAACATATTTTCTCAATCAGCCCCTCACATTATGAGGGATGGGGTCCCACATAAATCTTCTACCAGAGGTTGAAAAGCCTTGGTCATTTGACATGAGATTTCTATATTTGTGTTTTTGCTTGTCTCACTGGTTTGATGTGGAAAAACGTGATGTCATATAATCCCATGCACCAATCAGAGTTTAGTGACATTTCAGACAAAATGTGACAACAGCTGTTGTGTTGTTTGCTTGTGTTGCCATAACTCTCATCAAACCACTCCCACACAATCCTGATGCAATGAGTTTTTCAGTGTTTATGAAGCATAACTAAGGATGTTTCTTACCATCTTTAACTTTGATTGTTGTTCATTATTATATAGTTATAGAGAAGTTATAGAGGTGCTTTCACATTTCAAAGATTCCTAAATCATAGGCTATGCTTATGTCTCAAGAAAACTGTTGAATGGCAGTTTTTTCAGGTGCTGTAAAGCCTCTGCTTTTATAACACTTCTGGTGACAGTATTTGGTTGCAACGTCCTGCAGCCAGAGAGAGCTTCTCCAATCAGACTCCTACAAGTTGCTCTGTAATCTCCCATGAGCCCTCAGCTCAGTGACATCATCTTCCAGACACTCCTGCTGTTTCCGCCCCTGAGCTGCCCACTACTTTATTTTAAAGGCCACATGAGACCCTGTCTAATGATACTGCACAAGCCATTACAGTGCTCTTTATTTATTCATATATATATATATATATATATAGATTTTTTTTTTTTTTTATAGAAGACAATATAAGATGGTTTCACTTATACTGAATGGAGCTGTGGTGCTTTGTTGTGGTTCAAAAGGAGAGTGAAGCATTGTCACTGACAAAGGAAGACTTGCATTTAGTTATCACATCTATATAATCCAATTCTAAATTATACAATAGCCCTATAATACTGTAAATACATTTTATGAAGAGAATCTTATTAGTATTAAACTAAATTGAAATTTGTTTCTAATATTTTGGACAAATGGAGAAGCATGACTTTTTACAGCTTGACAGATCATTGTAGATATTACTACATTTTATATATTGGGTTATATAAGCTGTTGCTGTAATTTTTATTACTTGCGTCTGCCATGTCTTCATGATGCTTATTATACTCAGTTTTTGCTTCACCTGTTTTGCAGGACTACGCTGTGTCTACTGTGCCTGTGCTGGATGGGCTGCACCTGAAAAGCTTCTGCAGCATGGGGGGACCAGGCCTGATTGTCATCGGCTCCAGTGAACCAGCACAGAAAGCCCTAAAGGTACGGAACTTGTGTATGTGTGTGTTGCATGTACAGTAAAAAGCAGCATCGTGTTGCTACGATTATCCGTTCGTTCCATTCTCATGAGCGCAATATCTCATGAACACCCAGAGGGAATTTCATTACATTTGGTACAAATGTCCACTTGAACTCAAGGTTGAACTGAATAGAATTTGGTGGTCAAAGGTCAGAGGTCAAGGTCACAAAAAAAACCCAAAACTGTAACTTAAGAATTCATATGCTAATCATGACAAAATTCCACATAAAATGTTTGATAGAAGAAATTATGAAGTGATGACATTTTATACCCAGAAGGTCAAAGGTCAGCTTCACTGTGACATCATCATTTTCTATTTGACATCAAATCTGTCTGCGTAGACATGTAAACTGCAAGTTGACTGGTTGGCAGAGTCAAACAACCGGAGGCGGTAATTCTAGTTTTTTTTCTTTGGTTCACTCTTGGCTCAATCCAGTTGGTATGAACCTCTTTTTTTTTCTCTCATTCTGCAAAGTATTCAGCAAGAATAACACTGCAAGACAGGACATCACACATGTTGATTCAGAACAGACTCCCTTACTTACAGCTTGATGGCTGCTTCCCACTGTAAGCACATTGAAACCACCTGTCACCTTAATCCTTACTCATTAATTCATATTCTCAGCTAATCTGTGGGGATTGCCCCTGGCGCTCACACTCCAGCTTCAATTACAAAGGTATTGTCCCTCCATTAAACAGCTTGAGCTCTTTTCGTTATAAAGGCTTCTGGATCGATCAAGCTTCATTGCATCAATGGAAACCCAAGGGATGCTTAAGGACAACATGAAGAGGAGACAGTGTAGACCCTGACAGAGACAGATTGTCATTCTCACAAAGAGAGTAATAAATCTTAGCCCATCCCTCTGATGGAATAATCTTTAAAATTCTCAAACATCAATATGTGAGACTGCATGTGAACTTTTTTAATGACACACACGCAGTACATCTAATTACATAAGTATGAAGAATTAGACACACAAGCGCATACACCCTTGGCTTTGACAGATTCTCTCTGGCAGGGCTTCTCACTTGCCTCCTAGTGTGATATCTCCCCCTACTGGCCTAGTCTTACTTTAAGTCAAGTGAAAGTCACCTAGTGTGTCTCTGGGGCAATTAAAACCAAACCGTCAGACAGCACTTCCTAATGAGGCAAAGTACTTGAGAGAAACACAAGGTCAGACTTGTTGGTTTGTGACTATATTTGAATTTGCTGAAGCGCACACAAGAACTCAAGAATCTATGCATAAACACATGTGCTAATTAATTTTATATTCCAGCAATGACTCGTTAAGATTCCTGCCTGTTTGATCACCCCAGTAATTAGCTATTGGAGTGAGGAGTGGCCGTTAGTGAGACTTAATGACAGACTGCTCGCTTCCTAATTACGGCTTACGTCACCCTCTCTTGCAGCAATTAGCTCCTGTTTTAAAGGCACTTTTAACAACCCTGGATTTGTAATTAGGTAATGTTCTCTTTGTGGGGGGGGGATCTTATGAATGCTGTTCTAATGAATTTAAAGTGCCTGCTTTGGATGTGGATGCAGCTCTTATGTGTACCCTTAAACAAAGACACTTTGTACAAATCAAAGCTGGAGCCTGACTAATTCAGTTTATTTTCACGAAGTAAATTTTGCAGCTATAAGATATTCACTGAGCAGAGAGGAGGACCTGATCTGTTTCTTGTGTGGGCTTAGTCATGTGATTCACTTTAATACATGAAAAAGTGTGGATCTGTGGAATATCTCATTGACATCTGCTTTAATAGGGCTGTTCATTTTTACTGTTTTTTGAAGTTTGACTGTGTCTTTATCTGGGTTTCTTCAACAATAAGGTTCAGCCCTCCGAATATTTATATTTGCAGACCAGGTGTAGTCTCCTGTCTGTGTTTAGCTCTCCCTGGGATGAGAATACACGATGACCTTATGGATTTCGTCATCCATCTGCCGCTGTCACTGCCAAGCCGCTCTCATGAAGTCATCATCCCGAAATATCTGCCTGTCTCAGAGGATGCAGCACCCACTCCCTGTTCCCTCACACACTATACCCTTGCTACATTACAGCGCACTGAGCCCTGGTTCGATTCATGAGGTCATTACTCTGTACTGGTCAGGATTTGATCTTCACCTCAAGGTTGTTTACACGCTTGAGTTTTATAGATAACGAGGTGACAACACGGTGAGGGTCAAAAACATGTGATGACCAATTCCTGATCAGAAGCATGTCCATATACACAAGTAAGATACCAAATGTTCTACATTTGTGATGAGAAAACTGATAAGTTATCTAGAATATTTTAATATCAGGAAATGTGCCATGTGTGGCTTGGGGCATCAGGTTTCTCTGCCTGTAATGTCAAAGCATTCATTCACTGAATCCTTGAGTCAGCTGCAGTGTCAGAGAGCAGCAGCTGATCCCACATCTTAGCTTACAGAAGGTCTATACTACATGGTAATTCTATTCAGTATGTACTACATACTGATCATAATATTGTTGTGTTGTGCTGATCAAATATGTACTGTTTTAGCAGTTAGTATTCAAAAATATCAATATATTTTTTATACTTATATAATGATATATGTGACGTCAGTTGTCAAAATGCAACTGTGGGATGGCGCTGCAAGTTCATTTTCACAAATACAAATCAATCTGTTTTCTTTAAGATGTAATAATTTTTTTGTTTGTTTGTTTGTTTGCTAACATCAGCATGCTAACTATGTTCGTCATGACGATGCTAACATACTGATGTTTAGCGAGTTTACCATTTACGCTATCTTAGTTTGGCCTGTTAGCATGCTAACACTTGCTAATCAACACTAAACACAAAGTACAGCAGCGGCCGATGAGAATGTCAAGCAGTCTGCTTTGACGCAATGTCCTGTCATGTCCGTGTGTGTGTTGCTCAGGGTCGCTCATTTCAACAGGATCAAGCCAAATATTGGACAAATTTAAATTCTCACCTGGTGATGGCGCTGGATTAATTTGAAATTGAAGTTTAGAGCTCAAATTACTACAGCACATCCAAAGGGCGACATGAATGTATATGCTGAATTTCATTGCAATCCATCCAGTAGTTGTTGAGATATTTCACTAAAAAACAAAAAACCTTGTGGTGGCACTAGAAGAAAAGTCAAGTTCTAGGTAGAACCATAAATCTCTGTACAAAATCATATGGCAGTCTATTCCACTGCTACTGTGGCTAAGAAAATTGATTTTGTTTTACAGTATGAATTATATCAGGAAAAGAGCCATATATGGCCTTTAAACATTGCCAGTGATATTATTATTGAGTCTCTGAGTCAGCTGCAGAGTCAGACAGCAGCTGATAATATTTCATAGTTTACAGTTTTCTTAGTATTATCAGAGATGTTCTGTGTCCTCCCCTCCCCTTCCTTCCCTCCGCGTCAGCTCCCATTGGACACCTCAGGGTGCAACCATAAACACTCCATATGGACCAGTAATATTTCCAGAGTGAGAGAGTGTCAAGGAACCATAACAAACATTTATTGTACATCAGCAGGAAACAATTTCAGTCTCATTTCCCGACCAGATTTGGAAGCCGCCTTATGAAGGATTCGTCATGTATCTGCTGCTGCTGTTGCTCATCAGTGAGAAGAAGTATTGTAAAACAAAATTGAAAGGATTTATACAATGAGCATGAAAAATATTCAGCAGCAAAAATCCAGATTATGCTGATAACCGCAGTGGACAGCATCAGGTCCAGTAAATTGTCAGTATTTTTTGGTAACATGCGATTGTGATTGCACAAGGGGGTGGGTGGGGGATTTTATTGCCTTCCAGTAAATATTTTGTTTTAGCAGCTCTGAGTAAGCACATTCTGCTGCCCAGCTACCAATCTGTGAATTAACTGGACCTCAGCCACTGTCCAGAAGCAAGCTGCTGCTAAATTGCTGTAGCTTTATGCTTGGTCGCGAGCCAGGAGGAGTATGTAGAGACCTGAGTCCTCCATTGTTTCTTTTGTTCTTAAACACTTAGAAAAAGATGTACAAATCTGAGGCTTAGTTATGATGGCAGGCAGACAGACTGATGTTCACAAAAGCTACTGAAAGCCTAATTTCGTAAAAAAAAAAAATATGCAGTAACTGAGATAACCTTACCTAAAGTTTCTGCTTTTAGACCTGAGATTTGAATAAATTAAAACTTCAGTTACACTGTTACATTTGTAATCTGGCCTTATATTGACGGGTTGTACCCACTGACTGTGAACAGAGAACCAAGTGTTCCATGAGTCAGGTGAATTTTCTAAGGATTTAATTGCATTTCATGGATCAGAACTTTACACGAAGCACGATGAAATCTTGCTGTAGGACATTTTCCTTACACCCCCGAATAGTTTTTCCCTCTCTGTTTTTACTAAGAAAATGAGATGTTTTAGAGACAGAGAGTAAAGCAGGAACAACTGTGATCTTTGGTGGAGTCAACGTTTATTCTCCCCTCTACCACTCTTAATCCCCCTGTGTGTGAGAGACAGTGTTGGCGGTCACGCACATGGACAGTGTTTTCATTTAGGGCTGCTGCAATCACGTAACACACCCACAAGTGACCTGGGAATGTGTCTGGTCTGGTTACACACACACACTGCTTGTACTCCACCCTGCAGCCCTGTTCTCAGAAATGGCAACGTCAGCTCCTCTAAAGTTGATTTGATTGATTTCTGCATTGTCAGTCATTTGTAGGGCCTTTTCATTCTAATAATTTATAATTCATAAATCTAAAGTGAGTTCTTGCTATTATATGTATAGAAATATGAGTTACTCCTACCTTTTTCAGACTTTGTTTTTAACATTGTTGTTCCTAAAGGTCCATTACTGTGTTGCTTTTGCACTACACTTCCCAGAGTTCACTATTCCATGTAACAATGAGTCCAGCCCTGTGGCAGCTTTTTCCTTTCTTATTTGATGATGGGATTTACTGCTCATACTAACAGCACAATTGTTCTTCTGTTTATTCCCACCAAGCACATTTATTGCTGCCAGAAACATAAAATGTGTCACTTCCTGTGTGCTGATTAGATTTTCCTAGGAAAGCCCTAACAAAGTACTTAGAGCAGCACTTTTGCTGTTGGGTTGGATCAGTTGGTAATAATAGTCTGCTATTTATGTGACAATAACTCATGTTTTTGAAGGTACAAGGAGTGTGAGTATATTCGTCTCATTATGGGAGTAATATAATGCAAAGTAATCTATATTTCTATATAACTGACATAACAAAAGGCCTTTTCCATCTCAGTAAACACGCTGATCTTCCCCATTTCAGCAGATGTAGTCGATGGGAAGCGAAATGAAAACATCTTCAGCCACAAAACCCATTGTGCTCACAAGCCACACACTTTCCTCCCACATGTCTAGTTGTGTGTCATCACTTTCTATCACTGTCACTCCTCTAAACCTACATGTGCGTCAAGCTCACGTCACACATTTTGGGTGCAGAGTAATGCTAAAGGCGACATTTGCTGCAAATCTTTAGATAATAATAAGAATCTTTTTTCGTAGTTTCAAATTTTAATAATAACTTCATTTGACTGCTAATCATTAGCAAACAACCAACTCATCCTGCTCATGATTAAAGACAGAAGATCGTGAGAGAAAGAGGAAGAGCACAACCCCCCCACCCCCCCAGAAAAACAAAAAAAAGAAGCGATAGAAGACTCACTCCTCAAAATATCTTTTCTGACTGTTGATGCTTTGGATTTTTTTTTAAGTCGCTCTCCGACTCCCCTCCCCTCGTCGTCTCTGAGGTATCCGTCCACAGATGTTCAGCTCATAAACATTAAGAGGCACCTGCCTCTCCTCTGGTCATAACATCCTCACCCCCCGACTTCCATTTGGCAACATGGGCGTCTTCTCAGCCTCTCTCCCCCCACCGCCCGTCCCACCTTCGACTCTTTCAGATTACATAAATAACATGACATCTGCTGAGAAAGAATGTCTGTCTGCTCCTGTGTTCTCCATTAAGGCCCCCCAGGCCCCGAGAGTGGTTTTGGCCAGCAGAGAGACGTGGTGCTGCCTTCGGTATTGTGGCCTTGCTTCTGACTCAAAGTGTCTGATAGTCTGAATAACTGTTTTCTGTCTGACTCTCTGAAAGCCCTGTGGACTCTCACAGGCTGTGTTGCTTTACCTCATCGTCTATTTTCTGTCTGCCTCTTATCTTTCTGTGTAGATCATGCAGCAGATGAGTGACCATCGCTATGACAAACTGACAGTGCCTGATGACCTCGCTGCCAACTGCGTCTACATGAACCTGCCTAATAAGGGACATGTGCTCCTGCACTGCACGGCAGATGAGTTTCCAGAGAGTGCAAAGGTAATGACCATCTTGTTTCACAGCCATAGACGGTAACTTTGTTTCACACACACAGTCACACATTCATTTGCAATCCTGTGGTTACACCTTTGGGAGGAAGAAAAGCAGTCAGGACAGCCAGGCTGGTTTAGTGGCTCAGATTTAAAGAGCACTGCCCTTTGTTGCTTTTCATCCTGTCCAGACCTGGGAGAAAAGCAACTGGCTGGAGAGGGAAACCCTGCATAAGCTGCATGGTTGTTTTACACAGACCACTGCAGGTTAACCACAGCTGTGGCTGTTTTCTGACAAAGGACCCTGCAGTTTGATGTGAAGTAGCCTTTTGTGGACATGGCTCAGACTGCAGACTGGGAGACAGACACGTTGAAGTCTTATGGAAAAAAAATCGTATGTGCTTTTTTTCTCAGAACTTGAGTTAATCATCAAACTAGTTCTTAAAGCTGCTGTAATCAATATCTGTATATCAACAATGGGTCAAATGTCTACTTGTCTGTGAAAGGAGTAACTCACAGAGAATTATCACCCGACTCTTCAGTTTAACTTCTTTAAACTCATTGTTTTTGTTTTACAGTCTGCAACTTTAATGCTATGGTTCGGTCTTGTCATCAGTGTCATAAATATATAGTAATAAATCACTGTACCTGCCCAGCACCAAACAGCAGACAAACAAAGTTACCAACCACAGTAGCTGGTGAAGCGTTTAGCAGCAGATATTTCCCTCAGGAGTTGTTGGGAGACCAGACCACTTACTTACACATGGCAATGTTGCTCTCTCTCTCTCTCTCTCTCTCTCTCTCTGCTCTCTCTCTCTCTCTCTCTCTCTCTCTCTCTCTCTCTCTCTCTCTCTCTCTGCAGGAAGTGTAAATAAGACACCGTTTGCGAACATGTTTGCTACATTAACTTAAAAAGTAAAAAAAAGATGACATAGTATGTCAGTGTAGTGATTACAGCTTGTTGTGGTTCCTCCAAGAAGCCAAAACATCCATTAATGCAAGTTTAAGTATCTAAAATTTCTTCATATACAGAAGTATACAAATAATTGAATAGTGAATAATAGCAGGTATTCTTTGTTAAACTGTTAGGCACTGTATGCCTAACACAGCCACACCTGGCTGAACTCATCTCCAACAGAGTCTCACAGCATACACTGTCACTGCATGAACACAAATAACCATAAGCTTTCACACAGACATACAGTGACCTACTTGCAAACACCTACAAGATGTGCCTTTCACTCATGGAACTTAAATATTATTTTCTACTGCAGCTCGACGTGAATGATATGTTATTGTCTCACTTTGTCTGTTGGGTTTCGGAAAGGCTGAGCAGTAGCCGTGTTATTTAGATGCTTTGGGGTCACCTCACATTACAAGGATCCTTCACAAGGATTCTCACAGGATCAAACCCAGCATCCTGCAATCTGCAGAGACAGTGCCCAGACCTCAAAATGTACTCTGTGGTTAAAACCCCAACCTCCGCAGCTATTTTTAGAAGGAAGAATTCACAAAATTATGCGTCTTTGGACTCTCATCCATGGTGAAGGCTCTGTTTTTTCCAGGAAGATTAACTGAAGGAATTTAACTCTAGCATAATAAAGTCTATTTGTGTACCTCATGCTTCCTGCTTTGATAGCACCTTTTAACGGACCATTTGGAGCAATATTTGAGAAATGTATGTTTGTTCTGTCATCTAGTTTCCCTTTATAATGTTCAAACCCACCAGAAACTGGCCTGGAACCCAGTTTTGGTCCCAAAGCTGTGTTTAAGAGACTGAAATAGAAGGGATAGTTTTATCAGCGTTAACTATCATGCCTTCTTGTACAGTAGGCCTCAGTTGTCTCATGTTTCCCAAGGGAACTTGTTGCCTGTTCCTTCAATGAGATGTGGAGATTTCTCAGCACAATCACAGAGAAACTCTGAAAGACTTGTGCTGCTTTCTAACTCTAAACATTGTCTGTCCTAATCTCCGGTCTATTTTTAGTTTGCTCATGAAGTTACATAAGAGTTCCACATTAACAAAGGCAGGGGGTCATGAGAGAGGATTGGTGGGGTCGAAGGGGGCGGAGACTGGGCATCTTTAATGGTTAGCAGTGGCGACGGCTCTAGAGGGCTGGTTTTGGAGATAAAGAAAGTGAGCAGACAAAAGGCCCAGTGAAATATAGCAGTTTCTGCTGTGTTGGACCATGCCACCCCCCCACCCGACATATAAATCTCAACCGCAGTAATGAGAACTCGGCTGGAAACGATCAAAAAAAAGAGACACTTTGGAGACGGAGATGCTATAAACAGCAGGGGATTTACTGTTGTTTTGGGGGAGTTTCTGCAAAAGCACAACCTCCCCTGAGCTGACCCTCTGATCGTGTGGTCTTTGGATGGCGATGGTCGATTTGTTGGTCCAGCACTTTGGTTCACACTGAAATGCCATGAAGTTGACATTTCGCCGGATAGATTGCCATGAAATATGACACACACATTCATGGTGCTGAGAGGACGAGTGAGACGTCTTCACAGCTATTGGATTGATTGCCATGACATTTGCCACACACATTTGTGTTCCCTCCCAGGGTGAAATATAATAACTTTGGTGATCCCTTATTTCAACTAGTGGCATCATCAGATCACAGTTTTTTTGTGTAATACTTTAGTTAATGATCAAATACCTGCAAAACTAATGACCATCACATCAGCATTAGCTGTTAATTGGCAAGTGGTGGCAACTAAGATGGTGAACATCACCTGTTTAGCATCAACATGTTAGCATTGTCATTGTGAGCATGTTAATATGTTGATACTGACATTTAGCTCACAGCACTGCAATACCTGAGCACACCCTCACAGAGCTGCTAGCATGGCTTTAGACTCCTGGTCTTGTTTTCAACATCTAAATTAGACGGGGACCAAATAATGTAATTGGGAATCTATAATGAGAACACTTACACGTGCAGTTCTCTTCAGTATGATAATGCTACCAATTTCAATAAAGCAATTATGTAAAAATTACATGGAAATATGCATTAACGCCATATTCTTCAGTTGTATAATGGTGTTACATGAGAGGATGATGGTGCAGTGCTAATGTTCAAATTATTTAAAGAGGGCCCTGACCTGTACTGCTGCCCACATTACACATAATGGCTCGGGTAGAAAGGAATCAAGAGTTATAAGGCATGGCTGTGGTTTTTAACATGGCATCTGACTCACCAGAGGCTTCATCAGCTATATTGCATCATGAGATAAGAATTTGTTTAGTTGGTCCCTCTGGCTGTGCCGCAAGGCCTCGCTCAGTATCACAGCAGGGTTGAAATGAGAGTTTAAAGAGAAAAATATCCTGGTTTGGAAGTCTGGTAGGAAAACACTGGTTTTCTTCTGGAAAATGTCCACAGGGTGACACACTACTTTACGAGGGTCTTTGGAGGATGTCGTAATAGTTTTCACTCCCATCTTTTTTATATTTTGCCGCGAGACCAGGAAACCTTGCTGAATGCTTGTTCTCCTACTTCACATTTTGTGTCTCTGCAGGGCTTTTATATCACAGAACATTACAAGTTGACAAATAAATAGAGTGTTGCATAAGTTCTGCCTCAGGGTTTACCTCCTGCCTGCTAAGCTGTGCCTCAGGCTTTTCTAAAGAACTGTCGGTAGTGCTGGCTGGTCAATATCTGTAACACTGGCTCATAGATCTGGTACCCAAGGGCAGAGTCAGGAGGCAGAACAGGAACAGCTGTTACCATGACAACATCTATTTTGTATTTGATCATTTCTTTAACATAAAGAGTTTTGATTCCCAAATGTAGCACTAAAACATGTTTTTTTCCAATGACATTTGGCTGAACACAGATAATCGATTGAATTTCAGCTGAAATAATTTTAGAATATCCAACAGTCATTTCTAAACATAACAACCTAAAAGGGCAGGATGTCAGTCTTTGCAATGACAGCCTTGTCTGTGTGTCCTGCAGGTGTTCGAGAAGTTGAAGGACCACATGCTGATCCCTGTGTCCAACATGGAGAAGGTCAAAGTGGATGGAGCCCTCACATGCTGCTCTGTGCTCATCAACAAGAAGGGCAACATCTGAGCTCGCTCAGCAGGGGGTCCCAGTGCACGGCAACCAGGCACAGCTTGTATCCAATCACCAAGGATCCCGAGGTTTGACAAAACTATCTTGGTACTTAGAGGAGGGATAACTTTAGGGCAAGTTGGTTGATGCTGAGGGACAAAGAAAATATAAACTTTTCCCCAAAAACATCAAATCACATTAAAATCTCTTAAAAAGTGTGCAAATAGTTCAGGTGGCATAAAACACGATTAGTTACATGTTTTCTATGTCTCTATAAAAATTAGGATATTGCATAAAATTTGTCTTATTTTGTTCTTGATTTGGATTTATTCTAACATTTCCTACAAAAAGCTGAATAAGAGGCAAAAGAACAGACCCATGTTGAGCCATATGTTCCTGATAGTATTTGTTCTTGTCTGCAAATAATTAAAATGTTATTTACAAATCTTATTCTAATTAACTAATTACCCCGGGCGCCCCTGCTTGTGTGTAGACCAATCCTTGCACTGGACCAAGAAAATTAGATGGATCTGTTTGATAAATAGTTTTTGTTGCCATTGAAAAGTCTTACCAATGTTGCACTGCAAATTTATAAATTACACAACTGACAGACATCTACAATGAAAAATGTATACAGTTAGTTTTTACTGTTTACATGCACCCGTTTTAACTGTGACTTAATTTTTGTGTGTTTGGTTACATAATGCAAATGGGTCTCAGTTTGTGATTCTTTTTTCAAGAACTGTATTTAGGTAAGGTGTAGGATGGAGGAAACAAATCCTGCTACTGCTGTAATATGAAAACCTTAATGTCACTGTTGCTAATTAACAGCTTTTAAACTTGTTTGTTGAATTCCTGCTGTTTTTTTTTTTTGTTTTTTTTTTAAAGTTGGTGCTGAGGTAAATTTCATGATCGTCCTTTATTTTAAAGCCACTAACAAACCATTATGTATTTTAGAAAGAGCATCTATCGGGATGATTTGATTTCTTATTCTGAAAATGCAGTTCTTGAAAATCCTGCTGGAGACATGAGCTTTTGGTATGATCACATGATCAGTGTTATGGTTTTTTGTGATTTGTTATGATTTTGTGATTGATATTGAAAGTACTGCCATTGAGACCTGAGGTGCTCTTACCTTTCATGACTATTGTTTACTCATCATTGCCATTGATTGTAGAGTACTGGAGAAAATACTTTTGACTCATCCTTAACACTTGCCACAAGCTAGAGAAGCTAACAGTAGCCTGTTCATTTATTCTACGAGAACCATCTGTGGCCATTTTGCTGCAGCGCTCTTGCTTCCCTCCTGGTAAACATTTCTTATTTGTGGAGATGCAAGCTCAATCATCTGTGCCAACCTGCAGAGGACAGATAAAAGCCTCCTGTGTAGGAAATGGATGTTTTCATTATTATAAGGTGAACTAAGCTTTTCATTGATTCCAACATAACACCTCTGCTCCTTTTAATGTGCAATGCCTGTATGGAAAATCTGTGACTTTTGCTCCTGCTGAATGAATCTGAAGGCCCTGTAGTTTTCTCACATCATCGGTTCTGCCTGTGTTGTCGATTATCTGGTTCCCTTTTTTTTTTCCTGTCGGGTAGTTTTTACTCTAAAACTGACTTAAAGCATGCTGTGAAGCTGATGTCGGTTCCACTAAATCTAGTAGCACCAAATGTGACTGCAGTGAGAGAGTTTGCACTCAGCATGCAGAACAAGCTAGCTGCCCGGTTGGTGTGTTTCCATGTGTGTTAACGATGGTAGCTGCCAGCAGGCGTTAAAAGGATGTTGATTAGCTCTGTTGTAGTGGCCTTGTGTCTGTTATTGCAGAATTCATGCTTGAGGCCTGCACACATGACAACACAGCACATCTCTAGTGTAAATACATTATATACTGTATGTTAAAGCCCATCGCATTTGAAACTATGTTGTTTCTCTTAGTGATTGTAAGTGAAAGTTAAGGAAATGACATCAGGAGGTGATTCAACCTCCCTCCATAGACATTTGCGTATGGGCAAGTGGGCAGTGATGAAACATGGAAAGAATTCCTGTTGGGAGGAGAGGCTTGTACGCCAGTAAACACTGACTCTCTTAAACTTCTCTTTCTCTCTCTTGACTGTCTCACTCTCAACATTCGCTTTCTCCCACACTCTGCTATTGCCTCATAGATGATTCTGGGCTAATTTATGGCCATGATATCATACAGTCTGGCAAACACTGTAGATGTGATGGCCTGCCATTAAAGTGTGACACTAGTAGTATATTTTACAGAGGGCGGCTAACGGGATGCAGGGTGATAGCATAGTTGCAAAGCATCCAGTTCTTATCCTCATGTAGTTACTACAGGAGGCTGAGCAAGGCAGGACCAGTCATACACTGTCTGATCACTACACTGCAGCTATTGGGTTTTAGGCAAGTAAAGTCATTTCATTTAAGATTGTCATCATCTCTCACACTGCTCCAAACCACTTCTTTGTTGTTCAGCTCTGAGACACTGTAACCTTTTCCTACTGCTGATTTTAAATCAAATAACATTTAATACATTTTTGGTTCTTGGCTGGCAAAGCTGCATGTGAGTAACTGCTCCTGACTTTGTTGAAGGTTGTTTATCCTCTTACTAATCCCCTCATTCATCCCAGTAGTCATGATGTTGTGATTGCCCATGTTCCAACTCAGGTCTCTTGGTTTTCATACAAGTTGTGAGTAATAATTCTTTGAGTCATGTTAAATTGAGCCTTTCGTCTACTTTGTGTAATAAATTAACATCTAGCATTCAGCTGTGTTGTAATTTTTTAATCGGGTTAAAATGATCCCCAGGTGTGGAGGTTAACTTAACATTCATTCATGATTAGTAGTGTTATTTGGTTTAACAGCTCTTGACAGTGTTTGTATAAGTTTTACCCTCAAGGACAAGGTTAGTAGATCGTAAGGTGTGACAAAACACAAACCTGAACTTGGGTCAAAATCTAACTGTTCTCTCATTTTCAGTGGCAAAAAACAACAACCTTTGTCTCAGTTGGTGGCTCACTGAGACAACAGACATCTCATCTCTTTGTGTTGATATCTGCTGCCACCTAGTGACACAAACATGCAAAACCGACAAAAACAAGGTTTATATCCGGCAGGTCTGTTGTTCTTTAAATGCTGGAGTGTTTACTATGTTATGGTTTGACATGTACCCAAGAAAGTGAAACTGGAAGAAAATAAGTTTTAATATTAAGTGCTAAAAATACAAAACCTCAAGTTATAATGTAACATAAAATGAAAAAAAACACTATTTGGAAGGAGATAATGAGGAAAGGCTCAGTAGAAAGTGTTTTGGCTACATATGTTCATGTCAGCTTCCTCACATGGGAAGTCTGAGGAACATTTGAAACTTGTTAAAAAAAAAATACATACAATATAAATGAGTTACTGAATATACAACAAGAAGCAATGGCTGAAAAAACAATGGGAAAGACCTGAAAAACAATGTTTGTTTTTTTTCTTCAGAGGCAATTCACGTATAATAGTAAAAAAAAAAAAAAACATATACATATTAACCGATGTGAAACTGAATAGTCCCAACATAGTAGCTTTCATGGAAACTTTCACCTTGTTTTTCCTATTTTTATCCAGGTTACTCTAAATGCAGAACAGTAATCAGAAATGCACAGATTACTGGTAACTGGTCATACTGTACAAAACAGTCCTCAGCAACCAAAGCCACTGAGTGGTATTTACTTGTACTCTCACAAAAATATCCTAGATCAAAGTATCACAAAGACAAAGCATTGTACATTTCCAGCCCTGATGCGCAGGAAATCCTATACTTACAAACAAAAGTAATACATAATATATACCTATATATCTTAAACAGCTTTGAATCAAAGCTGGAACAATAATAAAAATATAGATATTCTTGTTTTCAAATGTTATGTTCACATCTACATGTACTTAATCTACAAATCTGTGCTGCATTCATGGCCTTTCATCTCCAAAAGGAAGGTGACAAATGATGAGAGGATGCCATGATCAAATCTAATGCCCATTATACTTTGTATATACTTTATGGTAACTATGGATTTGCATGATTAAATGTTCCTGCCCTCTCTAGTCGGCACCAGAAATACCAGTTACTTGAACTAATGATTAACATTTTATCATATTTTTTCATTTCTGACACAGTTGTTACACCCGTGTGCATTTCCTGATCCAAACTCCATTCCAGTTGGTGGCGTTAATGCACAACACAGGAATAGGAGTATAGAGCCAGGAGTTCAACACCATTTTGCTGTCTTTGTGTTGTTTGAAAGAAGAATCACATAAATGTGCGTGACACCGGATATCTTCGCACAGCCTCTCTTTAAAACAAGACTCATTTTGTTATCTGAAGCATGCATAGCCAGCACACTTTGTATGCGTACAGTCTGTGCGGTCACAAACTTTGGGCTGCATGCGGGCGTCCAACCGGAGCAATGCCTGCCCATATTCAACATAGGTACGTGGATGTTAACCACAGTTGATAAACCTATATGACACCATTTTCCCGCAGATGCTGTGATCCCGCTGGGTCTGAAAAGGTAACGCAGCTCTGTTTTCTGATTGTTTTCTTGCTTTTACACTAGTCGACTAGTCTAAATTTATATTTCCATTTAATTGACGTGGAAATTATTTGTTAGGAACATCCCTAATGGTAACATGCCTTTTGTTTAAGGCACAGAAGGCATTAATTATTAAAATCACTGAGCGATTTTATTTCTATAGAAGCCTCTTCCACAGATGGAGCTACTGATGCAGTAAACTTGGATGTGTGGATCTGTATCAACTTACAGTGCATTCTTATGTCAGTGTAAGTGCTTAATATACAAAGTACACTTGTTTTACTGTGCATTTAGCTACAGGGTAAATTAGTATAGAGGTTGCCTGGTCCCCTTTCCAGAGTGCCTCTGTATTCCAATCTGTGTGCAGCCTCAGCTAGAGGCACATAGGAATGGTTAAGAAAGTCTTTGCCTAAGCAAGGTGGGACACAGACTGAGCCTTCACTGCAGGAACACTGACATGTTAAGAGAATATCATCCCCCACCCCCGGGACTCCTTTCTCTCCGACCTTCTCATACATATACTTGTTTCCTTTTGGACAAAGAATGACACTGTCTTTGTTCAAAGTCACATAGTCTGGAAAGATTTTCGTCTCAAGGCTCCCATCTACCTGTTCTCCACTGGAGAGGCTTCCTTCTGGTGACAGGAGCTGGGTGGATTCCTCTGATGGCTTCGCCAGTCCTGAAATCTCGTCTTCAGACATTATCTCCACCACAGATGCAGTGGTTTCCTCAGTGCACTGCTTTGTTGTGAGTGGAGGATCCTATAGAGTGAGTACAAAATAGTTCATTTTCAATACCTGGAACTGAGTGTAAGCTAGACCTGTGACTTGTTGTATCAGTGTTTATTAATTTTGTTATCTTTTGTGTTTTATCGATATATGTAGTCTACATTTATAAGGCTAAATTCTTTAAACTGGAAAAACACTGGAAAAAAGAAATTTCCACCACAGTATAAGTTGTGTGTAATGTAATGGTGCATGTATCATACATTATTGTAACTTACCCATTTCTGCCGGTTTATCTCTGTCAGAAAGCTTTGTAGGACTTTGTCAAGGTTGGGCACTGGTGGCCAAAAATATTGCTTGAGCTTACTATAAAAACACAAACACAGTAACAGACATGAAAAGCATATTTAAACAATGTGGGTAAGATGGTCTGTAAAAGAATTGGCTTAATGTTTTTGATGTCAAGTAATAGTGAACTGAAATATCACAAAACTACACAAATCTTTAAGTGATTGTACCATACAAACTGATGTCAATAAAAAAAACTTCACATAATTTCTTTTTAATTTCCATGATGTTTAATCCTGGGACAGTGAGTGGCTGATTACAATATGAAAAAGCTGGAATAAGATCCTACCTGAGGTACATGTAAATGATGATAACAAGCATCAGCATTGAGGCAGGGATGAACAGCATGAACCACATGCCTGAAAAGGTTATTTATACTGCATTAAGGTTTGAATGGTATATGTGATATTTTTATTTGAGTAACAAAGAACTGCATTTCATGGCACATCAGTTCATTTTATGCACCACTACAATTGTTACCATACAACCAAAGTTGAATTAACAACTTGTTGAAGTTCTTTCAAAATAACAGACTAAGAATCTATAAAACCACTGCATTTCATTTGGTGCCAATTTTAAAATTTTGGATTGTGACTCCTCTACAAAACCAGTGGGGATTATTAAATATGTTTTACATCGATTATTGTCACACTTGGTGGGAGCTTACCTAAATTAGTGGGATTGTGACCAGTGACCACATCTGACCAGTCACTCCAGTGGCCTGAGTAAATGGACCCAGTAGGTTTAGCTCTGACCTTAATGTTGTACTGATTCCCTTTCGAAACCTCTAGACACGTTCCAGTCTCTGGTCCCTTTAAGGATACCGTCTGGGGACAAAAAGGTTGTTTTGACATTCAATATTAAGAAAATGAAATGTTTGTCTTAGCAATGATGTACTTCTTCTGCTTTCTCTAACTACAGCTTTTACATTCCCCTTAAATTATATTCCTGTTCCATCACAATACTGTTTAAATTGAATTATTTTCCATACTGTGAATACTGTTGCATTTGCACAAAATAATAATTTTTACATGCTTTTGCACATTAAATTGTTTTGCAACAAATTCATCATTTTGCTGATTTCTTCACCCTTAACTATATGTAGAATTGAAAATTCCTTACTTTGGCACCATCTGTTGGTAATATCAGGAATAACACCTGCCACATTTTTTTTTTGCCATCAGACTGATACTAAATATACTATAATCACAAAATTATGTACACAGTACTTTATGTATATTAATGCAAAAAAATGTTACAAGGAATCTGAAAGGTATGAGTGAACACATGACTGATAAAACGTATTTAGAAACAAAAAATCCTTACATGGCTCAGGGATAGCTTTATTATTATTTATATAATTTATTACCTTTTTTTTTTTTTTTTTTTTTTTTTAAATATATTATGTTCTGCAGCCACTGAAAATAACATCTTACCATCCATGCTTCACTCTCTCTGGTTTGGTAGCCGACTTCATACTGCAGGTGAGCCAGCAGAGGCAGAAAAGGAGACTCCCAATTCAAGCACAACCTCTCTTTCTTCCATGCTCCACTCAGATGACTTGGTGGGGATGTTTTGACTAAAAACACACAGCACACACAATCTGTCAACAGACAAAGCCATGAAACTACTTTTTCTAATGACTGATGGGTCAAGAGAGGAGGTACAGTAAGCACTTACTATTACAGCAACCGAGGAATTCAGTCTACCACAAGTAATGGTAAGAAAGAGACCTTATCTTCCTAGATCTTCCAACTTCTAACTGACCTATAGCTGTATAACTCTGCTAACTTTCATTGTTAACATGACTAAGTCACTAAGGATATGTTAAATATTACAAATTTTTATGTGACCTGAATGTTTGAGCAAATCTAACATTTGATTCATGTGTAAGATAGATTTTATATTATATACTAATATGTATTAGTAGGCAGATGTACCATAAATAAGACAGAGTTCTCTGAACATCTGCCTCCAAAGTACCATTGACTGAGGAATATTTCACTACAACTGTAATTTGAGTACAAATGGATGCTTTTAGAGAACAATATGCAGTCGGCTCCTTGATTTCATCACATCACATGGAGACTCTTTAGCAGATAAAAAACAAAGAGACAAGGGAACAAAA